ATTTGTATTTCCTTAATTACTAGTGAGGTTCAGCCTTATATATTTAGTGGCTGCTTGTGTTTCCTCTTCTATGAACGTGTTTACCCATTTGTCTAATATGAAGTTTACCTTTTACTTAATGACTTAGACATTTTGTTAGAATTTTTTCCTGTTAACACAAGTTGTGAAACTTTTTCTCCAATTGTTGTTTTATAAACATTTTTTCTGGCATCTAATTGTACAAATATTTTCAACTTTGATGTAATTTTGCTTTTTTTTCTTTATAAAGTAGATCTCCTTAAGTCCTTAAAAGTGATTACTTAAATTTTCTCTAATGTGTGGTTTTGTTTTTTTAGACTTAGGTCTTACATCCATTTGGAATTTATTTTTATGATGACAGGGACTTTTTTCCACATTAAGAATTGGAACATTAATTTCTGAGCTTACTTTTACCCACTGGTTTGAAATACCTAGTTTATTAAATACTAAAGGCTTATATGGGTATTTTTCTGTTTCAGGATACTTTATTCTTTCCCATTTGTGGTGCAGTGAGTTATTTAGAATGGTTCTTCTGGTCATGGTCTTTGTGGCCCTCATCAGATGACTGGGTGGACCTATGCAAATATAAGGTGCCTGTGGCCCACCAAAGGGATTGGACTGCTTGTTAGTAATGTAAATAAGGTACATAACACCCTTGTGAGGGTGGGACCATGGAAATAAGGTGTATTTTGTCATTTCTTTAGGCTTAAAATGAACCCTCCCAAAGGCAGTAAGGGGGAATGTCACATCAAGACAGAAGAGCTGGTGGTGGAGTGGGGCGTGTCCTTGGACCCAAGATCCCTGTGCTGGACTCACTGGCAGAGAGACAGTGGCAGCAGAACCAACATGCTGGGAGAAGACAATGGCAGTGGGCTTATCTGCCAGCCCATGGAGTGAGAAATCTGAGTGCCTTTAGGCAGGAGGTTTGCTGGTGAAGTGGGGTGCCCCCAGGTTAACTTATCGGCAGAGCTAAAAGAGCTTTTTAACACTTGCCTGAGCAGGTCAGAGGCCAGTCTGAGGGCTAAAGAGAGAAGTGCAGTGCTGAGGGGAGACTGTCCTGATTGAAGAATTGTATCCTCAGTGTTCCTGAACCTGCATTATAACCTGATGCTTCCCTAATAAACCCCGTAATTGTCAGTATTGTCCGTGAGTTCTTTGTGGCCATGAATCACAGAGCCCAGCAGAGAAGTAGTGAGTACCATGGGAAGGATGTTTAGTGTCAGAACTGGTAAAAATGTTGGAGGATGATGGTATGTCTAACTTCATAGGAATAAGCCTTGAACTGCTGATGGTGATTCTGTCTCCCCCACATGAAGTTGTAGGTCAGAAGATGCTGCCCCTATGCCCTTTCTATACCACTGATGTGACATTTTATTTATCATAAGCTTTGCAAAACTGCACTTCATATAGCAAATATTGTTGCAAGAAATTGTATGGAAATTTGCTAACTTTATTTTAAAAAATACCAATTATAGACTCAAATAAAATGTTCACTTTAATATTTACTACACAAATGTTTACTTACACTTACCAGAAAATTATAGGACAATTTGTGCATATTACATTCATATTACTATCCATATAAGAACAAATATACATAACCATTTATTCAACTCTATCAGGATAACACACAAGATTTTTGTTTTAGACTTTCTAGTTAAAAAGAAACATCAAATAATGAAAATGAATGTTCAAAGCTTTAATATTAATATGTAGAATAAAAATGATTTCTAAATGTCTTACATTTTGATAACTTTGAATTACACTTATACATTAATATTCCCCAAAATCATAACTTTTAAGAAGGGTCACTGTCAGGGTGAAAATACATATTTTAAACATTTTTTAAAATATGCTATTATTATATGTTTTAACATGTGATTTATTCTTGGCACATGTGGCGTTTTAGAAAGTAAAAATATACTTTGCCAATTTTATGCTATTGCCCAGACAAAAGAGAAAGAGCACAGTCTGGGAAGCAGACAGACCTGTGTTCAAATATCAGGTTTGTGCCCAAAGTTGTGTTGTGTAAACTGGGTCAATTATCTCTTCGCACTGGGCCCAGGATTAAATTAAACAATGAATATTCAAAATGCCTAGCATGAGCACTCAATGAATGATAGATCCTTTCCCCATTCATAATGAAGCAATGGCTAAATATCACAGTTTTGTGTTATGGTACAATATCAAAATGTGAAAAAAAATCAGGAAATTATAACATGTAATCAGTGTGTTTTGAAAAAGTGTACAGTTACTAAATAAGCAAATTCTTCAGCCGGCTTTATTATTTTCTAATAAAACTTAGTGCCTAGCATACCCTGATGAAAAAAAAAAAAGTCATAAATATGATAAAATGGTCAATGATTAAGGACTTTTGGTTTTCTTTTGTGCTACTGATATAAAAATAATGGCTATATTTAAGGCTCATTAAGTGATTGTTTGTAGTTGCCCTGAACCAAAAGTATATTCTTTATGCTACACGATCAATTGAAAGAGACCTACTGCCTTGAATGACCATTATAAAGAAACTCCCATGATATTCTACCTTTGAGCATATCGTGGCATCCTTTCTGACTCTAATAATGGTTCACTGGTGGTATGTGGCAGTACAGCTCATTTGTCATTAAGGATGACTCATACATACACAATCACAACCCCATCTTTCTCATACTAAATATATGGTGCTTGGAAATTACAAGGTTCCTGGAAATTAAATTTAAATTGTCACAGGAATAGGCTACTCTACAAGGCAATACTTACCAGTCTCAGCTCTTTTTCTTTTCTACCTTGACCACTTTAACCTTCAAAAAAACCCTCCTCCAGAACTCTTTTTCTCCCAAACTTTGCACCCCTCCATACATGTCCCTTACACTCATGCATAAATTATATTATCTTCAACTTCTACATATTATTATTCATGTTTTATGTTTGCCTTCAACCTCTAGCTAAAATGTAGTGTTTCAGTTTTTAACCTTCCACAGTGTTTAGCACAGTGCTGTGCATGTGTGTGACTGTGTGTGTATATACGTGTATGTGGTGTGTCTCTGTGTGTATGTATTGAATGAATACAAAGCTAAAGAACCTGGGTGGCTGTAGGGTAGAAAAAATTTCGTAGTTCAGAAATCAAAATCACTGGATTTTACTAATATTAAAAAAAATGATTTCACTATATCAGTTTGATTTTAGGCATGTCAATAATAAAAAGGCAGTGGAAAAAAAAAAAAAAACAGTTTAAAAAACCTTTATGAAGTATTCCAAAAGGTTTGTGACAAGTTATTAAGAGCACCAAACCAAAACCTTTTACTAAATAGTAGTATAACCTTTCCTAAGACTTTAGTCTTTTCATTCCAGACAAAGAATACTGAACAGGAATAGGTGTTGTGAATCAGGATAAAAAAGGCAATTCACTCTCTCAATATCTAATGCACATTTTGCAATTAATTTGAAAAGCCTTCTGTGGTATATATGCATGTCATGTTAAGTAAAAGAATGGTTTGTATCAAAATACTGTAGGTCCCTATAGTTGTTTTGATACTATAAAGTATGATACTTATATTGAAGTTGCTATTTAACAAGAAAAACTTTGTTCATAATAACTGTTTATACTAAAATAGGATATAATAAAAAATTATTCTCAATGTGTATATTTTCAAGTTTGCCTGACAGTGTCCTTTTGAGAATTCTTACCATTTGTACTTAGATTATAAACATTAAAATTTCACTTTTATGACTGAAATTACACTGACATAATAACAAACACAATAAATAGTAGATTTCTACTGAAGCACTTCTGTTCATATTTAAAGCTTTGCAATAAAACAAAACTGTACTTTTCATAAGTAAAATTATACAACATATAATGTATGATATAATTACACAAAGAATAAATAAACAAAGCATAAAAAATTCAGGCCCTAACAGTGGAATATTTTAGCTGTCCTTCTAAATGCTACTTTATATGTTTGTATTGAGTTCTACTGTATTTTAAACCCAAGAAACTTTAATGTTTAAATAATAAACCTAATCCTCACTTATCGACATGTTTAGGTTCCAAAGACCAGGTTATTATGCAAAAATCAGCATTATGCAAAAAGGGAGCATGACCACATCAGATCACAAAATGAAAGATGACTATATGCTTATATCGGAAGCTCTGGTAGTGTAGTGCCTAAAGGCATTTGACTGCTAACCAGAAGGCTGGCTGGTGGTTCAAACCCACCAGCCACTCCTAGGAAGGAAAGTTGGGCAATCTACTTCCCTAGTGATACTGCCTCAGAAACCCAAGGAGGGGTTGCTATGAGTCGGGTCTGACTAAATGGCACATAACAACAACAACAATATCCTTTTAACATTGTCAAAATGCATCATTACATAAATGCCAAAATATGACAATCATGGCCAACTTGACACATAATCTTAACCATCACAGCCAGCAATGCTCTTGCCTTACACCTCAGCATTCATTACTGCCAGACGTACATCTGCTCAAAAAAAGTTTGATAGATTTTTATTGTTGTAAATATGAAATATGCAAAATATGAGATAATCGGTAAGTGAGGAGTAGATCTATACTGAAAATATCAAGTATGGAGTACAAACATAGAACTCTTTCAATATATGCCTTTTTTTCTATGTCATCTAAGGAATAAAATAAGACAAATGGGAGTCAAGAACATTCTTTGTCTTCCTGCAAAATATCTCCTTGCTTCCCCATATACATCTATGTAATTTTTAGGGAAAATATTAAAAGGTGACAAGTTTGGCAAATTATAAGTTTATTCCAGTGGTTTCTTAGTTGGAACAAAAGAAAAATTTTAAACAAGGTATTTCCTTTTTTGGCTTATTCATTCTCAATTATTTTCTCTAATATACAGTAGCAATATAAAAGCACTTCTTGAAATGCTTACTTTAAATCATTTTAAACAGCACAACATGAGTTGGATTAATACAGAATCAGTCAAAATAGAGTATCAATATAGATACTAGGGTGAGGATCTAGAATTTGCTACACGAAGGGCTAAACTTGCAAGAGATCGCATGGCAAAAGTAGAGACTCTGTGACATATACCAGCTTTTGAAATATAGTTGGAAGCCAATCGAAAAAGCCTTTCAGCACCAAAGGTATTAAAGTGACCAGGGAGCACCTTCTCTACCAGACCTCTGTCCACTAATTCTATCAGACGTTCACAGGTTCCAACATAGTCACTTATTCTGCTGTACGGAAGCCAGTCAATCAGTGATCCATCATATAGGACGTCTCCACTGAAGAGAATCTTTCGGTCTTTGTCATGTAAGCAAATACTGCCCCTGGAGTGTCCTGGCATGTGCATAACAGTAAGCTGTCTGTCACCAAGGTTGATCACATCTCCTATAAATGGAAACAGAGTTTACAGATAAACAAAATGCACACTTCACTCATGTGAGGAATACAAGAACATGAAATGGTTTTAAAGAGGTTGGGACAGATGCCCTTATTTTATTTCATCATATTGCTTAATGATGATTTTAATATAAGTTGGTTATATTTCCTTTCTATTGTTTGCTAGACCAGTGTTTGCCAAAGTGAGCAAAGTATAACACTAGATCTGCAGGTTGTTATGACATGTAAAGGAAGAAGAGAAGGAACTCTGGTTGTTGCAATGGTTAAAGCATTTGACTGCTAACCAAAAGGTTGGTTATTTGAACCCACCAGCTGCTCTGCAGGAGAAAGATGAGGCAGTCTGCTTTCATAAAGATTTACAGCCTTGGAAACCCTATGGGGGCAGTTCTACTCTGCCCTAAAGGGTCACTATGAGTTGGAATTGACTTTACAGTAGTAGGTGGATGAGTGAGTGGTCAAATAATTTTGGGAACCTTTGCTTCAAAGAAAATTAAGCATCTCTCTTTAAGACTTCTTAAAGATTTTAATATGCTAATGTAAACACCTATGGAAGCAACAGTCAAGAGATCAAACAATGGGCTACATTGGGCAAATCTGTTGCAAAAGATCTCTTTAAATCTTTAAAGTGTTTAAGAGCAATGATGTCACTTTGAAGACTAAGATGTGCCTGACCCAAGCTACGGTATTTTCAATTGCCTCCTATACATGTGAGAGCTGGACAATGATAAAGGAAGACTGCAAAACAACAACAACAACAACAACAACAACAAAAACAATGCATTTGATTTGTGGTGGTGGTGAAGAATACTCAATGTACCATGGATGGCTAAAAGAACAAACAAATCTGTCTTGGAGGAGTATAGCCAGAATGCTCCTTAGAAGTGAGAATGGCCAGACTTTGACTTATACTTTGATCATGTTGTCAGAAGGGATCAGTCTATGGAGAAAGATATCATGCTTGGTAAATTAGAGGGTCAGCAAAAAAGTCGAAGACCCTCAACAACCTAGATTGACACAGGGGCTGTGACAATGGGCTCAAGCATAGCAACAATTGTGAGGATGGTGTGGGACTGGGCAGTGTTTCATTCTGTTTTACACAGGGTTGCTATGAGTTGAAATCAACTCGATGGCACCTAATAACAACAAACAATGCATACTAAGAATATTTAAGAGATAGTTGTAGAGTTTTTCAAACTTATTTGACCACTAAACTTTTATTTTTCAGAACATAGCAGTACCCTGTTGATAAAATTTATAAATGCCAGTCTAGCGACTCGACGACACACAACAACAACAACAACAACAGTCTAGTGAAGGGTATTATTTTTTTGGTCTTTGTGTCACCATGAGAACTAGGATTTGAGGATGCAGTGCAAATGCTGCTACTGTGGCTACTGTTATTGTTGTAATAACAGTATGACCCAGGACTGTCATGGCTTCTGTCAGAATCCATTAAACTGTGGCCAGCTAACTTGCTAGTCTGCAAGTAGGGTAAAATGTCCTCTTCATAGTTCTTGAACCCTGTTGTCCAATAATCGATTTCAACTCATAGCAACCCTGTAGGACAGAGTAGAACTGCCTCCATAGCATTTCCTAGGCTGTAATCTTCATGGGAGCAGACTCACTTCTTTCTCCCATGGAAAAGTTGGGGGGTTCAAACTGCCAACCTCTTGGTTGGCAGCCAAGCCATGAACAACTATACCACTAGGTCTGGTTCTTGATAGGGAGAAAATGGAGCTATACGTGTACAAAATTGTTGTTATGCTGTAATTAAATCAGTACTAACTCAATGTAAAATGATAAAGTTTCATATTATAATCTCTAATGCAAACATGCACAAAAACAGTGTAATATAACTTGTTGAATACAAATGAAGACAGTAAAGGAAAAGCAGAGGGATAAAAAAGAAATAACACATAAGGAAAAAAAAACATAAAAATTGAAAACCTAACTCAATCCAATCATATCAATCATTCCTTTAAATATGAATGGACTAAATGTGCCAAACAGAGGCAGACACTGATAGACTGGAGAAAAAAAGCAAGATTCAATTATTTGTAGTCGACAAGAAAAACAAAAGCAAGTTGAAAAAGTTATACCATGTAAATATTAACCATGAGAGAACTAGCTTGGCCATACTAATATCAGGGAAAATAGACTTTTAGGAACTGAATATTACTAAAGACAGCTAAGCAAGACAAACTTGTCTGTCAGTTTGTCGTACTACTGTGGCTTGTGTGTTGTTGTGAGGCTTGAGGCTGTGCCACTGGTGCTTCAAGTGCCAGCAGGGTTGCACATAGTGCACAGGTTTCAGTGCAGCTTATAGACTGAGACAGACTAGAAAAAGGAAGAGGCCATCCACTTCTCAAAGAATTGGCCAGGGAAAACCTTATGAATAGCAGAGAAACAATGTCTGACACATTACTGCACAACTTTCCAAATAGCTCAGAAACATTATCCAATACAGTGGAGGGTGAAGAGCCCCTTAGGTCAGAAGGCTTTCAAAATATGAGTAGGAAAGAGCTGAATCATCAGAGTAGAACCAACATAACTGATATGGATAGAACAAAGCTTTCAAGACCTCCATTTGCTGACGTGGCATGACTCAAACTGAGGAGAAACAGCTGCAAACATCCATAGGAACATGGAATGTACGAAGTATGAATCTAGGAAAATCAGAAGTTGTCAAAAATTAGATGGAACGCATAAAGATTGATATCTTAGGCATTAGTGAGCTAAAATGGACCGGTTTTGACCATTTTGAATCAGACAACCATATGATCTACGATGCTGGGAATGACAATTTAAAGAGGAATGGCGTGGCATTCATCATCACAAAGGATGTTTCAAGGTCTGTCCTGAAGTACAATGCTGCCAGTGATAGGATAATATCCATACACCTACAAGGAAGACCAGTTAATATGAGTCTTATTTAAATTTATGCACCAACCACCAAAGCCAAAGATGAGGAAATTGAAGATGTTTAGCAATTTATGCAGTCTGAAATTGACCAAACATGCATTCAAGATGTGTTATCACTGGTGACTGGAATGCAAAAGTTGGAAACAAAGAAGAATCGCCAGTAGTTGGAAAATTTGGCCTTGGTGATAGAAATAACATTGGAGATCTCATGACAGAATTTTGCAAGACCAACAACGTATTCATTGCAAACACCTTTTTTCAACAACATAAACGGCTGCTATATACATGGGCTTGACCAGATGGAGTACAGAGGAATCAGACTGACTACAGCTGTGGCAAGAGGCAATGGAAAAGCTCACTATCTTCAGCCAAAACAGGGCAGGAGCCCATATGCAAGTTCAACTTCAAGTTGAAGACAATTAAAAGAAGTCCACGAGAACCAAAATATGATCTCGAATATATCCCTCCTGAATTTAGAGACCATCTAAAGAATAGATTTGATGCGTTGAACATCAGTGAGATTGAAAACCAGAAGAATTGTGGGATGTCATCAAGAACATCATTCATGAGGAAAGCAAGAGGTCATTAAAAAGATAAGAAAAGAAGACAAGACCAAAATGGATGTCAGAAGAGACTATGAAACTTGCCCTTGAATGGAGAGTAGCTAAAGCAAATGGAACACACAAGATAAAAAAGCTAAACAGAAGATTTCAAAGAGCAGATTGAGCAGACAAAGCCAATTACTATAATGAAATGTGCAAATATCTGGAGTTAGAAAACCAAAAGGAAAGAACATGCTTGGAATTGCTCAAGCTGAAAGAGTTGAGGAAAAAAATTAAGCCTCAAGTTGCAATACTGAAAGATTCTATGGTCAAAATATTGAATGATGAAGGAAACATCAAAAGAAGATGGAAGGAATATGCAGAGTCACTGTACCAAAAAGAACTGGTTGATGTTCATTTCTTTTAGGAGGTGGCGTATGATCAAGAACCAGTGGTATTGAAGGAAGAAAACAAAGCTGAACTGAAGGAATTGGCTGTTTATTTGTGTTTTATTGACTATGTAGAAGCATTTGATTGTGTGGATTGTAACAAATTGTGGATAACATTGAAAAAAATGGGAATTCCAGAACACTTAATTGTACTCATAAGGAAACTATACATAGACCAGGAGGCTGTTGTTCAAACAGAACAAGGGGACATTGCATGGTTTAAAATCAAGAAGGGAGTGCATCAGGGTTGTATCCTTTCCCCATACTTACTCAATCTATATGCTGAGTAAATAAACCAAGAAGCTGGACTATATGAAGAAGAACATGGCAGGATTGGAGGAAGGCTAATTAACAACCTGCGATACACTGACAACACAACTTTGCTTGCTGAAAGTGAGGATGACTTAAAGCAGTTACTGAGGAAGATTGAAGAATATAGTCTGCAATATGGATTACATCTCAATATAAAGAAAACAAAAATGCTCACAAGTGGACCTATAAGCAGCATCATGATAAATGGAGAAAAGATTGAAGTTGTCTAAGAGCTCACATTGCTTGGTCCTACAATCGACACCAAGGGAAGCAGCAGGCAGGTCATTAGATGATGTATAGCATTGGATGAATTGGCTGCAAGGGACCTCTTTCAAGTGCTGAGGAGCAGTGATGTCTTCTTGAAGACTAAGGTACACCTGACACAAGCCATGATATTTCCAATCGCCTCATATGCATGTGAGAACTGGACAATGAATAAAGAAGACCAAAGAATTGATGCTTTTGAGATGTGGTGCTGGCGAAGAATGCTGAAAGTACCATGGACTGCTAAAAGAACTAACAAATCTGTCCTGGAGGAAATGCAGCCAGAATGCTCCTTGGAAGAATGGCCAGACTTCGTCTCACCTACATTGGTCATGTTGTCAGACAGGACCATTTCCTGGAGAAGGATATCATGCTTGGTAAGGTGGAGGGTCGATGAGGGAGGGGAAGGTCCTCAACGAGATGGATTCACACAGTGGCTGTGGCTATGGGGTCAAGTATAGCGGGGATCGTGGAGCTGGCGTGGGACCGGGCAGTGTTT